GTATGTGATCCGAACCCGGGGCCTTGGTGTTATCAGCACCGCACTCTCCCGAGTGAGCCACCGGGCCGGCCCAGGACAGGCTTTTAACTAAGGACATCATCTAAGGCTTTTGCCAGCACACTAATTCAACAAGAGAACAGAACTCTTAATTCATAGTTTTTCTGTGTAACAAATAGGCATATCAGGTAATGTCAATGTTAGCTTCATATGAAGGAGTTCACAGCTGTAGGTACAGTCCAAAATCCGTCATTATTTCATTTGCTCCTTGTAACAACTTGTGAGGGACTTGGAAAATCAGTTATCCCCATTTTCTACTTGAAGAGAACACAACAGAGATTAATCAACATATGTAGGGTTGCACGTTAACTAAGAAAGTCAGAGCTAGAAAACATATCTTATTGATTCCGAAACCTATGTGCTGTTGCTCTCCTCTTTTTGCAAGACTTCATGGCCTAACCTCCCTTATGGGGAAGGAAGAAGACAGACAATTCAGGAAGTTATCTAGACCATTTCCTATCCCTTACCCAGCCCCTGCAGTCCTATGCACTTAGCTTCCCAAAACAGAGCAGCTTGCCTCTGCCTGGGTAATCCATTCCACAGTCTTAGCCCAAATGACTTGGAATCCTATTATCTTGGTGTTGGAAAGGCCCTTAAAGATAATCTAATCCAACCTCCCTTCAGAAGCCTGAATTCATGTTCTCCTTGGTCTAACCTCACAACTGCCATTGCTTACAATCACTTACAAGGTACCTTCCAGCCTGGGTAAGGAGAGACTGGGAAGAAGGCTACACCTGGAGAAAGTGAAGGAGCAGGGAAGCTTCCTGTGCATCCATCAGGATGAAGGTTCTCATCAGGACACAGGAGCTGCCCTGATTGCTGAATGGCAGTGTCCCCAGATTTGCCCCACTCAACACTTTCTACACAGGCGCTGCAAAACACTAATCGGGAAATGAGACAGGAATCTTACCTTTCTTCTCTTCTGTCAGCTGCTCCCCTGGAGATCATCAAACCCCCAGCCAGCACTCCATTTCCAAAACTGTGAGTCCCAAATCAGATCCACCAAAGTTCAGCTTTTCTCCTGTTATCCAGGTCCAAAGTCCATGGCTGAGTGGACTCGGAGGAGGAGGAGTCTGGGGGGGAAGGGGTGTGTCCAGGCCCCTCCCCCCCCACACTGCAAGCTTCAGTGTCCCTCCCAGGGGTCTGTTACATCCCTTCATTCAGCTGACTTATTGAGCTACGGGTCTGGTGATGGACAGATCCAAGGTACTAGCCGATCTCTTGTTTAGGCAGGAAAAGTCATCCACTGTGAGAACTGGTGCGTCTGTCTTCTGCTGGGGCTCATAAGAAACATGCTTTAGAAACGGCATGGCCCAGGAGGCTGATTTCTGTATTAACCTGCAGAACATTTAAACATTATGCCACTCTCCAACCTATTATATACCTGAATGGATTCCTAAGACTTTCTAGTTCTCACTCCCTACCTAAATTAGATTCCTGCTCTATCATCAAAAACCCTTCATTAAACACTCCCCAAGGTTTTATACAAAGCACCTACCTCATTCACATATTGCACTCCAAAACACAGTCACCTCACCAATATGTACACATACACAGGCTCAGGATAAAACAAGGGTCGTATCTAAGTAAAGAAAAGCAACCAAAAGCACTCATAGTGTGTGCTGTCTTCTAAGAAATGTAGAAAAGAACGTCCTCTTGTCTAAAGCGCCACACTAATCGAATCTCCCAAGCTTCTTAGGGTGTTCAGTGTTTTAATCCACCAGCTCTCTTCAATTTATTTAAATCCTTTCCAGACCAAGATGCTGGCACCTTCCACGTGCATTCCTCGCTCCTTCCTTCAAACCTCTCCTCCCTCTCTTCTTCCAAAACTGTCCAGGGATGTAATTCTTAATCTCCGTCAAACTCCTTCCCGGGGCCACTCCAGAGAGCACACTCATAGATGTTTGAGGCCCGAGTCCTGCTTGCAGTAACCCTTCAGTGTTCCAGTTTCTCAGTCTGGGAGCCCACCCCTGTGGCCCCCACCCCTCTAAGTTTATTCCTAAACATACATATACCCTTTCTTCCTTCCTATAGGGGCGTGGCGTCCACATAACCCCTCTCCCCCGCTAAGAATTTAACTCCTCCCAAACGTCGCCTGCCAACCCCGCGCTCCCTGTTCTCGACGGAGGGGGGGTGACACCGCGACCCTCCCTAAACTTCAACCCCCATCCCTCCGCCATGCGGACGACCCTCCCCCTCACCGCGCTGGGTCGTTACCTGA